AAAGAGAAAGAGAGGAACGATTGATAAGATAGGCAAGAGAGGAAATAAGCAGTTGATGAGCTCTTAGCTTACTGTGAGCGTTGGTTGAAATAAACGAAGAAAGGAAGATAAAATACGAGAACGTACCGAAAGTCAAAATGAGGAGATCGGAAAACGCTAAGCTGAGGAGGTAAAAGTTGGTGTGGATGTGCATGGATTTGGTGTTGATGATCACCACACATGTGCAGATGTTGCCGATAGTGCCAACAATCAAGATGATCGAATAGCTTATCGCTGTCGGGATCACAATCGTTTTCTAGAAAGCAAATTATAGTTAGGGCAAAAATTTATGTGAATCTTCAGCAACTTGAACTGATGTTTTGTGAATATTTCGGAGCTCGTCGTTGACATCTTATGGCTACCTGACTCAAAGAAGGAAAAGTAAATGAAGGAGATAAATTGATTTCATCCGACGAGGGTGGAAAACAAGTTGCGCTTTCTACTGTACTTCAGAAACGCTATCGTTCTATGAGCCATTTATTTCTCTTTAACGCTTCCGCAACTACAATAAGCGCCAGGAATAACTGATAATGGAGCTTTGTGTGAAAGTCTTACCACGAAGAAATCTTAATCAAAAAATTTTTGATTCACGGAAAAATTTCACACGTAAGTGGCCCGTGCGAGCCAAATCTTCATAATTCCTTCAAAATTTTTGAATATGATATAAAGCGATGGAAAAACTTTCTTGAATCATAGTGCTGGCGAAAAACGTATTCTCTAACAATTGAAAACTATAAGTCTTGATAACCCTTCTAATCGTACTTACATGGATTATTTGCACTTGCGTAATGACTTCCACTTCAAATCATTTAATTTCAGAAGGTATCGTGAAAAAAACCGGCAGATCCCTTTTGAATTTGAAGTCATTGCAACATCGAGTAGAAAATCTTCTAATGAGTTTCAGTTTCGAGTTCCTTGGAGGAATCCTTCCAGTTCAAGAGAGAAAACTCATAAAAGTGACACATCGTCCAAAAAGAAGCAGTCAGTTTATTTCAGCAGGACGCCACATAACATGTTGTGCGAATCTCATCCCTTACTTCATTACGCTCATTTCCTCATTTTCAACATCAACGAAACTCCACTTTCCCATTCATATAAGCAAGACTGATGCAGAGAGAACGTTTGATCCACACCATGTCGTCGAGTAGAAGGTCCATTCTCCGTGGACTTCTAGGAAATTGGTGTGTAAGCGTTCCAAGTTCCTCACGAGTGGCAATCGGTAGCCTCTGTGAACTGGAGATTCTCGAAAATGACGCTTCTTCCAACATCACTCTAAAAACAAATTCTCAACGCCGGAGGGTTGGTAGGTGGCTATGGCAAGGCCCAATCAAGATCTCGTATACTGTGAAATATTTACACTGTGTGCGCCCTTTTTAATCTCGCATTTTTGAGGGCACAGTTGAGCAAGTGACAGTTGAGGTAAATTTTTTACCTTCTAAAGTTTAATCGTAGTTGTGCAATGCAACAGAAATCTCACACTACAATCCACAAGCCTATAATGTGAAAGAAAAATGTCTGGTGGAGGTAAATGAGATGAATTGTGTACAAAATACTCACCGCTTGACAAGGACTTCCCATCGCACTGACAACATACGACGACACGTTTTCTATATCGTAGCCGAGTGATTCACAACTCATCTGTAAGAGATCTGAAGTTTTTGAACATACAGGAAGAGAAGCGAAATACAAAAATTAGAAGGGCGACGCACGTGAACATACGTATTCAGACGGAATTGCGATAAAGAAACGGACAGAATTAAATCTGCAAAAATTATAAAAAATGCAAGTAGCAAAAAGGATTGGAACGACTTTGCTAGGAATGACTGTAAAATGGCAAACAACATCCAGGAAATACGATTGAAAAGTGAGCTGAACAGTCAATAAATAAGCGAAAATAGTGCCAAAATTTTGAAAATAACAGGTAAGATAGCATTTTTATCCATTTCACTTATTTTGAGGAACTCATAACTGTCTTTGTCAATAAATCAATAATCATAGATTGGTCTATTCCATGTAAGTTTTAAGAACAGCTAGGTAAAGATATTAAATAATCGCTTTTCAGTGAAGAGTCGAAAAAGACAACGAGGATAGTCTCAAATGAATAACTATGATCAGTTTAAGACAAATCGTTCATTAGCGTTCATTCTTCTCTCTTATCTACTTTTTCTTGGACGTGGAAAGTAGTGGTCAGAGGTGCAGTCATATACATGTGTGGTCGTTGGTACGGCACGGGACCTAAACCAACAAAGCTTCTCTTCATTTTGAAGTGAGCAAAGTGTTAACGAATTCATTTGTGAAAAGCTCCTTTCAATGACAAACGTTACCAAACATCGGTGAACAAGGCCCAGGAAAGTTCTGTCAAGCTATTCAAACAAATCAGAAAAATTACCCTCGACCAGTGTGTCACGTCCTTTGAGACAAAGAAGGAATCGAAGACAAGAGGCGTCAAAATCCGCACAATAAGATGGAGTGAGGCCGTGTAAAATAAGACTTTAATTACAAAGAATGATCGTTACAAACAACAGCACTGCTAAGATGAGTTATCAAATTTACGAGACCGTTGCCGTGTCTGTTTCTGAATATGGCAGCGTTGCGAAACCGATTTATCTGAGCCTTAAATTAAACTTACGGAGTAGGCTGAAACGATTTGTATGAGTAGCGAATGGTGCCCAATTGGAAAAAAAGGGAGCGAGAAAGAGTTTAATGCTGAGAAAGTCAAGTCAGCTCAGCTCAGCTCATGAAACTCTTGGAATCCTCAAATACACAAACAAAAAATAATTTAGCTAATAGTAAGTGCGGTTGTTTTCTTTTGTTTATGTTAGGATCCTGCCGATCATTTATAATTGACCAAGCATCTAATCCGATGTTGATTTTTTTAATGTGCTTGGAAACCAAGCTTTATTTTCTCTTACGTTCCAAAGCGCAATGAAAGCCACTGCTTTACTCACGACCATTTAAGAAGTACTGATATCATATATCGCTAGGTTACTGCAAGTCTGCATGGGCCGAATAGGTACCCAGACACCACTGCAGTTTTTGACATGGGGTCAAATATGATGTACTCGTAGGGGATCAAATCAGAAGCGGAAGATTTCTTTCGATACTGACAAAAAGGGCTGCATTAATGGATTAAATTTCTGTAGTCGTCATTCCATAGAAAACTTACATGTTTCGGAACTTTTCATCGGGTTATTCAAAGGAGTTCCTATGTGAATCAATAGAGTATAAATGACTTCACTCCTTCCTAAGATGAACACACAAAAGGTTGTCGTTATAATATTTTCTTACCACTGGCACACGCTGTTCAGGATTTCACGATCTTTGAAGCTTGGAGGTGTCGAGCTGATGAGTAGGCTACTCAGCTAAATGCTTCCACAACCTCAATAGAGAAATCCGGCACCTTAGTTCGCATTTCTAAAAAACAACCTTTCTAAACTGTCATGGTTTTCTACGAGTTCCCAATCTGATTGTCAAAAAGTCGTTCTTGAAAATTATTACAGCATCCTTTATCAACATGGTCTACTTTTTTTTAACAGTAAATGACATTTTCCCCTATGCTCTAAGTGATTTGGAATAACATAGTAGAGGAAAAAGAAGCTATTCAGGAGGGGCAACGAAGATTCCTTGTCACTAACCTTAGGCTTCAAATTCTTTCATGAAAAGAGGCGCAAACTGTTGTTGTACGAAGAAGATAATCTTAGAAGACGCAGGAATAACGTGGGGATAGCAGAATTTTGGGCAATGAGTCAATATAAGCGAGTTTTAAGACTAAGATTTGCATGACGTTTGCGATACTAGAAGGCTGACACACTAAAATAATTCTCATAATTGCCTCCAACCTCAGGAATTGATAAAGCTAGCTCAAGGAAGAAGGATGTCAGTCTTATTAATCAAATTACTGAAGCGAAATAAAAAAGCGACGAGAGTGGTTAGATTAGCGTCGTCATATCGGATTTAAACATCTCTCATATGCCGTCACTTCACATCGAGATTGCGTTCAGCTAGTTGACTAGCGAATGCAATTCCTATCGTCACCTAAGACGTCCACAAAAAATAAATTTTCTTAACGCCTTTCAAGAAGACATTCGACAAAAAGGACGTCGTTCTGGTATCTTTCATCAGGGCGATTGTTTGCGACTCAATGTTAATACGATGTGACCGAAGTGCGGCTGCTGGCAATAGATGACGCTTTAGGTTTTTATGATTTATGCGAAGGCGAAACTTGAGCGGAATAAGTGGTAAGCTGTTATGGTAAAATATATGTAAGTTTCCAACTAGCTCAAAAAAGATGGGCAACAGCTAACGCAGCGGACACATGACAGTTTGACACGCAAGAACAATCGAGAATGAGAGAACGGATAATTTTAAGGGTAACACTGGGATTCTAAGTGACGGCGAAGTTTAAAGACAGAGAGCACCAAATGCCAAAGCCGAAAGCCAAGCGATATTAACACCGGTGCAAAACTTGTCAAAAAGTTAGTACTAAAGTTTCTCACAGAAAAACTTGAATTCACTTAATCTTCAGTCACCATCCCATAACTTCGGTCGGCTCACAGATTTATAATACATCATCATCAGCCTGTATTTTCAACATTTACACAATACGTTGCAGCAAATAAATAAATATTATAAACTTAAGAGAATTGAATGGTAAGCAAAAACAGCCTCAGGAGGGGAATTGAACTCGCTTTTCATCCATACCGAGGACGCGTGCTCTACCATTACTCTGCCGAGGCACATTTGCATCCCAACTCATTCTTCAACATCTCTATGTTAGCTATCAGTCACCATCCTTTGACAGGTTTGGTCAGGTATGGGATTTCGCTTTGTAAACCCCAGCTGAGCCGACAGCCACTGTAATAACTTTATAAAGCAAAATCGCATACCCGATCAAACCTGTCAAAAGTTGATGACTGGTAGCTAGCATAGAGATATTGAAGAATGAGTGGTGGTGCAAATATACCTCGGTGGTGTAGTGGTATACCACGCGTCCCCGGTGTGGATGAAACCCGGGTTCGATTCCCTACTGAGGCCGTGTTATTGTTACCACTTAATTCTTTTAGGTATATACGAAACATCATAACACTGCGGAAAATGCAATTAAAAAACTAGAAATTTCGAAAAAATACTACATCTAGGGTGTGCTAGCAATAATTTTTATTCACCACATTACCGATGGAATAGCAAAATTTTTATACGTAGGATCTATATGCATATGTACATATATATATATATGTATATATATATATATATATATATATATATATGTATAGAGCGCATGTGGCGCAGTGGTTAGAGGTGCCCTGCGTCGCACACGAGGTCAATGGTTCGATCTCGCGCTCATGGCTCACCAAGCCATCCATCCCTCCGGGGTCGGTAAATTGGTACCAGACAGGTCTCAAGCTTGTCTGGGAGGATAAGCAGCACTGACTCGGTTCAGCGGGAGGCCACCGCGAGTCATTGTAAAGGCCAGATGTGCATTCAAACACCTCAAACGAAGTTAAAAATTGAAGTCGAATGCATGGCGCATCCCTCAGGGATTGATCAACGCCGAGAGCTTTATCCTTTTATATATGTATAGAGCTTATACAGCTTATTCGATTTTACAATGCTTTATTCTACTGTGCTGATCCCAGTACTTCTAGCATTCATTCTTTTTTGGCCTTCCTTTTGAACGTCGTAGAATACTGGTTTAGCACGTCTCTTTGCAATCTCGAGGACAGCATGGCTGTGGCTATCCATAAGGTGTTCGTTGTTTCCCTGCAGCAAGTATGGGGGTCGAATTAAGCTGCGCGTGCTGCGACGAGCATCACTTCTACTTGGCCATCGCCGCCTCCCCATATATACAAATATAAATATATATATGATGTATATGCACATAGGTATTTATAGAAATAATGATATCAGAGAAACGACCTAGGTGGTGTAATGGTAACACTTGTGCACGGTATGGCTGAAACATAGATTAAGCTTCTACTTGAGATTCAGAGCTTTGCATATCATTCTCAACAACCTTGGGAGTAGATAATAGTATTTCCAATAATGTTGAGTGGTGACTCACAACGTCGGAGGTAACATCTGAACCCGTATTTCACCTTTTCCAGGCGCGCGCGTGCCATAATAAATTATTTTTGCAATGTTACCTTGCCTACAATTCGGTCTGATCAGTGGAAAGGCAACAAATTTTCAACACTACAACGGCTCAATAGTCTTTTACTACGTAGAAAACTGGCCAATCTGAATCAAACTATTCGCAAACAGCATCTTAACTAAAGATGCTTGAAAGTATTAACAAACGAGCTAGAATGACACATAGCTCTAGACGGTTCACAAGTGGAAGTATGAAAGCAAACCGGCGATTAAGCTAATCCATGCAAATCATAAGGAAGTGGTAAGATGTATGAAGATCAGAAGTACCAATGTGGTGAGAATGTTTGACTGGTCCAGAATTGAGAGCGAGAAGTCAGAATGGCGAGTGAGTTTAAGTGGCCCAAAGAAGAGATCGAGAAGTCGGAATAAATAATCTCCTCATACAAATGTGGACATTATTAGTGACCGTTAACGAGTGCTATTCGTTTTTTAGAACATCGTTGAATCAGAATTATCTAAATTGCATGAAATGGACTTCACAAGCATTCATTTGAGGTAGTTTTGCATTTGATTAAGGGGTAATGAGGATTTGCACTTACTTATTTTGTAAAAACTCAAATTAAATAGTATTTCTAACGCTTTTTTTCCGCAGTGCTATGATGTTTCATATGCCCTTAAGGGAATTGAGTGGTGAGCAATAATAGTTCTTCATTTTAATAAATTATTATGAATGTAAATTACCAATTTAAATCAGGTCATCAAATATACATATAAATTATTTTTGCTCACCACTCAATTCTCTTGGGAGTATTTGAAACTTCAAATTATTCAAAGCTTTATTAGATGCTCATAAACGAGAAACTTTCCTGAATGTAGTGGTCGTTTTTTATTTTTCGGATGCTTAAGTGATAATTGAGCGAGAAAATTTTTTCGTCAAACAACTATAAGAGTCTCAAAAAATTGCTAATATTGTCAGACAACGGCCGAGTGATTTAGGAGTTGCCGAAATAGCAAAGGAGTCATGGATCTTTCTATTTGCTTTAGCGCTTATTTTCTACGAATACATTAGTGACTTCACAGAAAGGTGAAAATAAATCAAATATGGAACAGGACGTGAAAAAAAGTGCACATTAGAATGTTGACATTGGTTGATGCCGACTACTTTCAGCGTTAATAATTCGTTATTTATGATTGACTAGAATTCTGCCATCCTGAAAAGCTTTCAGACTCTTGGTAAAGTTCCAATCCACTTTTAGTTCTGTCTCCACGAATCCGGCGAGACATGGCATTGCAAATACAGTATGATACAAGACCTTGGAAGCGCTGTAGTCAAAGATGCCATTCAATTAACGGATTGTTAGCTCTTCTCCAACCAAATTTCATTAAAAATCGTTTCCCGCATTCCATCCTCGACGTCATTTGGTCTAGAAAAACTCTCTTTGACTCACAAAGGCATATAGATTCCTATAGTAAAATCCTAAAACGTCCTGGTACAGCTATCTCAAAGTTCCATATTCAAATGTAGCTGACGACATTTGTGATCAACACGATGTCTCCAAGGAGCAGTGTAAACCATTATTTCAAAATGGAGAAATCAAGACGATTGATGGTCAAATTTATGCAACCTAGTAATCCTTCCTGCAAATCAAGGAGTTGAGTGGCGATGAAGGCTCATTTAGGAAGCAGAAAACTTTAGGGTAAAAACGTGTTCCAATTTCGCTTCGTGATAAGCATTCGTGTGTGCATACATGTCGTTGAGGAATAACGTGCGTCAATCTTTATTAGTTAAATTCACATAAATTCTTAGGTCTGGTTCATCAAGATGAGAAATGTGTCACGTGATTTATCACAAATCTATAAACTATCTGGTATTCTCAGCATCAATAAACTTTCTCGTAGAGCTTTGATCCACATTTTTCCATTTCTTGCCTCTAATTTGATCGCAGTGCTGCACTAGTTGTCTAATATCACAAAATTATGAATATCTGTGTTTCCAGTGAATTTGAGTATCATCCGATCGACTGTTTTCAAACCTCACTATAAACATTGAACAATGGTAATAACACAATATCACGTGCACCAAAACGTCTCCTTATCTTTGCTATGAAATAGGAATCAGTGTCAGTCGTGTGGCTCTGATGAAGCGGGCGATACCGCCAAAACGTACGTATGCTACTGACTTATCAACCTCGAAAAGGCCTTGAACATTATCACAAACTATATCGTGTTCCCTATTTGTTCATCGTATTGAATTTCCACTTGTTTCAAGTGTAAAACTGCAAGGCAATGCCCTATTATGTATCAAGATGTGCCGGCCTCGGATTACTATTACGCGTCTGAATATGATGAACAATTATTATGTCGGTAATATCATATTTTTTCGCATTAGTAGTACCATTGAAAGCTATTAGAGGCCGCTCTAGAGTTTTAAGAATAATGAAAGAAAACACATGCTCTTACAACGATAAAGGAAAGAGTAAAAGAAAGGAAACGGAGAAGGAAGTAAAATAGAAAGTAAAGAACGGAAATGGTAAACTTTTGAACAAGAGATGGATCTTAAATCACTGAATTTATTCAAATACATTAACAAAGTAAAATAAAACTCGCAAAATCTTTACTGTTAAAGAGTGAAGTCCTTCAGATGCGACGGTTTCGGATATGCCTTCTCCAGATAAGAGATGAATTAAGAAATGATAAACAAGCGTATAACAATTCTTCGGTGCCTCTGACTCAACACCCTGATTTAGTTCGAATTTGTTTGCTACATGGACTTTTATTTTTGCGAAAATATTAGAGTAGGGCAAAACAATTATTCAGCTACTTATCCAATACACCTGTTGGAGTAGCAAAAAATTTCAGTCACAGAAAAATTCATAACAAATTGTTGAAATTTGTAGTTAGAGAAGAGCAACAAGAGGAACACAATTAGCAGGAATCACGGCAAGTTACGCTATTTTTGGCCTTCGCTTTTGTTTATTGCTTGTACTTCATTCATGGCAAAGTGTCAAGTAAATTATAGCTACGAAAATGCTTCAAACATACGAGTACTCTATCGCTGGTTTCGCGTGTACACCACGAAGGCTTCTGCTTTTCCTTTGTCTCGGCCATGTTTTAACCTTACTGGTGCTACAATCAATCACCCTTCAACAGTAATGATCTGAAGAGCACAGTAAATTTATGAATATCTTACTGCTTACTTGATTAGCACACATGAGGCTGTCAGAAAGATTAATACAAATAGAATTTCTTGTCTTGTTGGCGGTTTCGCCTTTCCAGAGCCAGTTGCACTCGGATTGACACGCAATCTAGTCAGTCAGCCATTGTAGAACCGTGAGTGTTTGATTACTTCGGGATGGCATCTATCATTTTTGGCACACAATTTTTTGGAAACCTTCTTCGTTGATCACGAAATTTCGACTAAACTTTCAATAATCAACGGATAACTAAAGAACGGCAATTTCAAGCATTGTTTGTGGAAATACTTTCTGTAAAAACCAAGGGCACCTTACGTTTTGCTTCAGCGTATTTTTGCTTGGGCGGCGTCTGTGGATAGCTTTTCACTTGATTTCTAGGAAAAACAAGGAGTTCATTATAGCTCTTCTATCTTCGAGAAAGCATTTTTAGTTTGTTGCGGTAGTGAGAAAAAAAAAACTACGTTTCATCATCATGACATGTTCATTTGCTTGCGTTATATAACTGACTGAGAAGACTGTGCGTCAATTTGGCGCAAAGGAACTAAAGAAGGCGAACTGTCGGAAACAAGCAAGGATCATGTCAAATGAATTTTGTTAAAGCCTTCGTGTTTTGCTGATAGTGCCATTGAGATAGCACCAATAAGATTAAAGACTAGCCGAGGAAAAGTCAAAAGCTGCCATAGGTGGTGCAATGGGAAACGCGTGAGCCACCGGGAAGTAGTCGAGGGATCAAGGCCACTAGTGGTCTCG